AATTTCATTACTTCCATAAAATTTGTCACAGCATAATTACAGATAGGTAATAAATTACCATTGAATACTACACCTGACAAAATGGATGATTTGGGCTCCTCTGAAGTTGGTCTGGGTAACCTCATGACACCTTCAAACGTCCCGGAGATTCTGTGATGATGCAGACATGAAGCTTAGGAATGTTCATTTCTAAGGAAGAACACAGCAGGAACTAACATGAAGCAACAAATAGACCACCCACATGCCAACTGAATTTAAACCAGGAAGTAACTGCAAAGATAACTGAATTTAACAGAAATAGAATGATTGTCTCATCCAGTGGCTTTACTTTTCCTAGATGCCTACTAAAGCTGATACCAGGCAAAATTGTGACATTATGGAAAAGTACATTTTTTTCATAATTTTTAAAAATTTATGTCTTCAAGCAACATGTGTTCAGATGTTACCACATGCGTCTATACTAGGCATTGTGCTAAGTACTTGGGATCCTGGGATACTCAGCTAAAAGAGAACCACTCAGTGCCTTCAAGAGTTCATCATTTAATCAACTGCTTTATTTTAGTACAGAATGTAAATGCTGAGAAATAGGTACCCAAAGGTGAAGAGGAATAGAAAAGAGATCTCTAATTCCAATGTAGAGGTTTAGGGAGCATTCCCCGAAGATGGGACATTTGAGCTGGGAACTGAAAGAAGAGTAGAACTTGGTCGGGAAGATGGGATATCTAGATTGAGGGGGCAACAAGTGTGAAAGCATGGAGACTTGAAAGGATATTAAATATATGAGAAAGTGATGTTGCTGTGTGATGCAACATGCCTGGAAGCAATGGTGGTTGTATGGTACTTATGCAGAAGGTTGATCTCTAAAAATGAAGGACTTTGAAAAATTAAGCCAAGGTATTTGGAATTTATTCTAGAGATCACTGGAAAGTTATAGTAGTATTTTAAGGAAGAATGAATATTAACATTTCCCTTAGCAAGATCATTTTTGGTCATGAGAGTAGAATTTGGAGGGGTGCAACAGTTCTAATTCTGTGTTGGAACCTGGAAAGAAAGATGTAGCTATGGTTGTGATGAAGGGAATGAAGGCTGGTCGTATAGGCAAGATTGTGCAGAAACAGGATATTTAGGAAGAAAGATACATAGAATTCGATAGCCATTGCATATTTAGATGGGGAATAACTCACTAGGTAAATAAGTTTCCTTTTCTGAAATAGAGAAAATATGAAGAGGAACACTGACAATGAATTTGTTTTTAGCCATGTTCATATGGATTTGTCTGTAGAACATCCCAGAAAAGATCCCGAGGAGGTGTTTCAAAACCTGGCACAGCGAGGAAAAAGTATTTGAAGAGAGTTGAATTCTCACAATCACACTCTTGAACCTTAGAGGAGTTATTGATTCCTCTGAACCTCAAATTCTTTTTTTTAATTATTATTATGTTATGTTAATCACCATACATTACATCATTAGTTTTTGAGGTAGTGTTCCATGATTCATTGTTTGCATATAACACCCAGTGTTCCATGCAGAACGTGCCTTCTTTAATACCCATCACCAGGCTAACCCATCCTCCCACCTCCCTCCCCTCTAGAACCCTCAGTTTGTTTTTCAGAGTCCATAGTCTCTCATGGTTCATCTCCCCCTCCGATTTCCCCCCTTCATTCTTCCCCTCCTGCTATCTTCTTCCTTTTTTTTTTTTTTTAACATATAATGTATTACTTGTTTCAGAGGTACAGGTCTGTGATTCAACAGTCTTACATATTTCACAGCGCTCACCATAGCACATACCCTCCCCAGTGTCTATCACCCAGCCACCCCATCCCTCCCACCCCCACCACTCCAGCAACCCTCAGTTTGTTTCCTGAGATTAAGAATTCCTCATATCAGTGAGGTCATATGATACATGAACCTCAAATTCTTTATCTGTATAAAGAAGTAATATTTACTTAGAGACATGCTTCATTCCCAAGCAGAGTTCTCTAGTGTAGTTTGCCTCCTCTTGGAGGAGGAGAAAAATTTGTTTTGTTTTGTTTTTGCTCAAGGCCTTGACCACATGCCAAACCATCCCAAGAGATCTTCAAGGATGGAGTCTGGGAGGACCTGTATGCAGCTTGCAGAGTAGTTATATCTATTTAGTGAACTATGTCTAGTTAATAAACTTCTCAAAATTCCAGAACATAATGGATTTTTAGATACATGCTAGTGCTCTCCTCCTTTCTTACAATTACTCCATGGTTTTCTTAATAACTAGGTGATCAGAAAATGTCATCTACCTCATAGCAGTAAATCAACATAGCAATAAATAAGCATTTTAATGGCGGTTTTAAAAAAGGGTGTCATGTAAGAATTTCATTAGCCTTTGTGAGCTGAAGGTGATGGAAGCTCATTTTACTAGATTTACTAGATTTAAAAAAATTTTTAATGTCCCTCAAGTTATCTGTCAACAATTTAATCAATATTTCCTGATTCTCTTCTGTGTGACACATACTATTTTGGGCATTGGTTACAAAAAAGTATGTTTTGACAACGCACAAGTCAATATATAATTATTTCAAGTAGAAATATAAAATTCAAAAAATAATTTTAGGTAGTCATGAGTATGGAGCAAAACTGGAAATAAAGATAGATAGGATTTTAAAAACAATGGGAAGCTAATTGGTTTACTTTGGACATGGTGGTCAGGGACCATGTCTCTGAAGAGATGACAGTTAAATGGAAACTTAAATAATAAGTCAAGTGTTTTAAGTGGAAGGCAAAGCAAGTTCAAGGCAGGAGCCAGTCTATTTATTTTCGATTAACAGAGAAAGAGCCAATGTGCCCCAGAGCTTTAGTAAACTGGGAGACGGCTGGTAGGAGATAGGATTGGAAAGGAAGCAGGGACAAAATGTATAAGACTTTATAGGCCCTGGGAAAGAGTTGGATTTTATATTAAATAAAATGGAAAAAAAAAACTGGAAAATTTAAAGCAGAAGAATAAGGTGATGTGATGAATATCTTATAAAAGTCATTCTGGATTCTCTATGGAGGCTGGAAGTGACAGGACAATGGTAAGGGCAGAGGGCAACATCGTCCACCAACTTACAAAACAACGTTCTGCCAAGAAGACATGCTCAGTGAGGCTGACAGGTGATTGGCAAGAACGGGTTAGAAAACTGGGGCTTACTATTAATCAGAGAAATGTGTAGTTTAATAAAAGGGATTTTTTCCTGCTGGAAGCTATCATTAAATCATCTTTAGCATCATCAGAGAAAATGCATAAATAATGTCATCTTTTTCATCTTAAAATATTTATTTTCCCAGATTCATCTGTACATTTGATTATTTTAAATCACACTTTAAAAATAGTAGCAAAAAAGTCTTTTTCATTTTCCCCTGTATTCTATGAACAAGAATATAATACACTGTGACTTGTTCAAAAGCATTCAACTCTTAAAAATAAATTACATTTCAAACATTTTTAAGAGCTAATAACTAAAACCATATTTTACATTGAAAAAGAAAAAGAGTACAAAGAATTTATTTAAATAAGATCACTATAAATCCAATCCATTTTTAAGTTAAAAGAAACTGTTTAACTGTGAAGTAGCTGGCAAAAGTACCATTTTTTTGTAGAAAGGGGAGATGAGTGGGGGAATGAATGATATTTTGATATAAAACAATCATAGGACAAAAAGTATTTAATAACAGGAGGTCAATCTTTCTGGTAGCATTTTACCCAAAGCTAGTCATTTATTTAAATGTCAAGAACATCCTGTCAAAATAGCCAAATTTGGAAAAGAGAGGTAAATTTTTAACAAGACGTGTATATATAAATAAGTTATAGTACAGAAAGTTCCTAATTATACTAAGAAATTTGGAAGTGGGATTTGAACAATTAAAGTGAGTCTGTATAAATGGATACTAAAATGTAAAAAGGCATGTTTTTAGAAAGTATTGACTGGAATTATCTTGAAGGAAAAAGTAAATTAAGTGTATGTTTATTGTATTTTATAACATTTAGATTATAAACGCAAAAATGTGCAAATTATAAAATTGCACAAGGAATTATCCCAGTGTGACCTTTTTGATTTGGGGCTTTTTATGTTTGACTCTGAGTACGCTATTTAAAAGAATGACAGCGTACCCTTCACTTTACATTGGACATTAGTAATATAATCATAAAGTGGATCATTTACTTTTCTAAGAGCATCTCTCAATATTTTCAACAATTCTAAAACATCCACAGCATTATCATTTTTCCTCTGTCATTGATTTGCCCTGAATTGTCTCCCTGAAACTTCAGACCCTTTTTTCATTGCCTACTTGAATTTTTCACTTAGATGACTAATAAGCAATTCAAAATTTAAGTGCCCAAACCATAACTCTTTATTCCCAGTACCGCTTTCTCCATCAGACTGCTTACCTCTGAGTCTACCACTCAGAAAATAGGACATGGTCTATCCATGTGATCAGAGAATTACCAGGGACTCATTGCTCTTCCTCTACTGTTTCATCCTCTCATTTTGCACATTTACCACATGAATCCATGTACTTCTTCCATATCTACTATTGGCATCATAGTATAAGCTGTACTTCTTTCTTGAATGGATTCCTACAAGCCCCCTAACTAAATCTTTGTTAACCTCGCCATAATCCATTATCCACTTAGGAGTCAGAACTATCTTTTAAATAGCAATATTGGAGCTTAAAAATGTACATTTCTTTTTATTGCAATTTGAAGAATTCAGAAACTCTGTCCTGGACCACAGAGCCCTCATGACCTGGTCCCTGTTCACTGATGTAATATCAACACTCAGTCACCAAGTTAGCCACTGCGTGCTTTCTTGGTTCCTCTCTGTTGGTGTTGATGGTCCTCCTGCCAACTCATCTGCCTGGGTTTCTCTTAACTCTTTTTTATTATTTGGTGTTCTCCTTTTTATTATGTATGTTTCACTTTAAATAACATCTCCTTTTTTTTTTTTTAGGACACGAAGTTTGCTTTAAATATTTTTTGGGGGGAAAGGACACCACACTTCTACTCAATTAAGAGAAACATTTTTACAGTCTTGAGGTCTTTTGTTTTCTTTACATTTATCATGCCATGAATTCATAGGGAATGGGTTCCAGCAATTCGGGCTCCTTTCCATTAGTTCTCACAAAGTGTGCTTCTCTGGGTGGGGCAGGCTGGCACTTCAGTTGAACCCAAGGACCTTTCTCTTTGGCTTCCTTCTTTTTCTGATCATTTTCCTTCACATGCTTCAGGAAGCTGTCTCGACTCTTTGAGTGTTTAATATGCTCAATGCGTTCATTAATTCTCTTGGCAAGAATCTTGCCCTTAACTTGTTTGTTTACAACAATGCCAACAGCATGCTGAGTAACATTGTAGACTCTTCCAGTTTTGCCATGGTAACATTTGTGGGGCATTCCTTTTTGAACAGTGCCCATTCCCTTGATGTCCACAATATCAACTTTCTTATGGATTCTCATGTATGTGGCCAAAGGAACAACTCCATGTTTTCTAAAATGTCTAGAGAACATATAGCGGGTACCTTTCCCCTTTCCTTTGTGTTCGTCATTTTGGTGAATTACTGGAAGATGGTGGTTCCCTTAAATAACATCTCCTAATAGAAGAGTTTGCAGAACTCTTTATCAGGAGTCTATACTCAGGCATGCTCTCTTATCACACCACCCTCTTTAATTCTCTGGATAGGATTTGTTCTAGCCCATATATTATCATGGGATATAGAAGGGCTATGGAAACAGAAATTTTGTCTGTTACTCCTGTATGCTCAGTCTTCAGTTAGTGTCTGGCATGTAGCAGAGACTTTGTGTGTGTACATGCCTATACACATATATATATGTATGTGTGTGTGTGTGTATCTATATCTGATGGAATAGATGAATGGTGAGTAGACATTTGGATCCAATTGTATCCAATGACATTGAAATGCCAGCTTTGAAGTACCTCATTGTATTTCATTCTATGATAAAAGGATTAAATCACCCAGAATATGCTTGTCTTATCTATTTTTTAAAGCAATGCATTTCTTAAAAACGTCTCATACAGACCTTGTAGAACCCTGTGGAGATAGACAGGCATTCACTGAGTCCTATTTAAAAACCTCTGCTCTGGCAAGGATACTCTGATCAGGCACAGCCACTTCCTCCAATGCTAGAAAGCTCAGCTGATATTAATATCAGTATGTCTTTTCTAAAAAGGGCCCAGATGCACTGCCTGTGGACCAGCTGCTTTTGCCCTCTATTTCTGATCCTTAGTTCTTTTGCTTTTCTTCTCCATATGTCAAAGTTTTCAAACCATTTGGAACCTTCCTCTCTACTTATATCCCATCATTGAGCAATTTTTACTTTGGACTTTCCAACAGCTTGATACAAGTAACCATCTATTAATATTGACCACCATCTGCAAAGCTTTAAATACAACTTAATGATGGTTGGAGTCTGCATTTTACTAAAAGAAAGGCAGCTAGTAATATCAAAACGCATGATAGGCGTTCTCAAGTATTTTGAAGCCTTATTGGTCTGGCCTCTCTCTTACAAACATTTCCTTTTCCTGTTTTAATGGTGTTCTCATTTAAGAGGAGTAAGACATTTTTCTCTCCCAACATTCTATTTGGTTTCCAATTCATTTTGATCATTCATCTGACAACACTTAGGATAGGAGACGTGAAAGTATACAATGAATCTACCCCTCTACAAGATTGCTTGTAACTCCCCCCAAATGCCCTACAAAACCTTCAACATTCAGAGAAATATTATTGCCTGTTATGAAAGAAACGGAGGCAAACTGGAGTTCTCCTAATTGGATTAGGTCATCTGATGGTCTACAGGACATGAAGTGATATCTGGTAGCAGCTTATGCTACTGCTTACCCTTCCGTGTAGCGATCACAATAACATTAAGGGTACGTACATGTAGAGGGAGCGAAAGAACATGAATACTATTCTTCCTTTCATTTTCTCTATCCTATTTGTATGATTTACTTCTTTATTTTTCCTCAGACTTGCACTGAATTTTATTTTAAAAAGTGAACATAGATGAAAAACGATCTCTTGGATTACAAAGTAGGGCAACGAGGTGAAAGGGAGTGGATGCAAGATACACAAAGTTATAAAACAGACAAGGGGATTATAAATGTATACTGTTTTCAACCTAAACGAAATCATTTGTCAGCAGGGGAAACTGTTTTGAGTGAAGATTATTTTCACCGCATATATGCAAAGTGTGCGTAGTAAGTCATTTAAATCAAGGTTATACATTGTCTTTAGGCAATTATTCTATTCTGCAGACGTCAAATGTAAAAAGCCAATTGTAAGCAGTTTTGAACCGTTATTTTGTTGTAATTATGCACTCCTCTGACAAAAGATAATGATTTATTTTACAAAGAAAATGCTGCAGGGTTACTTTGTGGAATTTATAGTGTAACAGGGAGAAATCATTAACCAAGCAGGTACACAGGAGAGGGGTGGATGCTAGTGTGCAGTGGGAAATGAGTCAGCTCATCTGAGGATTGATGTGTGCACTTTAAGATCTTTATAATCACATTAGACCTGCTTGTTAGCATTTGGGCACAATATTCACCCACGATGAAATTTTTGGCTTTCTCTGCCCAATGAGATGAGCTCTAGAAAAAGAGACAGGTAGTACTATTTTTTTTTTGGTGGTGGTACTATTTTTTTAAGGCTGTTTGGGAGATGACCCTAAATCTGAGGAGGCTAGGAAGGGGTAAGAGAAGAGATGATATAACAAATTCAGGCCCAAACTGAAAAGATGGTTGAGTCTTGGTCAGTGTGAGCTGTTCACATTGTGGACACACCGGGGCATTCCTGTGGAGAGGCATGTTTTCAAAAGCCTGTTGGGCTGGGAGTTTATGCATGAAGTTCTCAGAAGTCACAGCACAACAGAGAACCCTCCTGCTGATTTTTTTTTTTAACCAGATTTGTAGCTTAGATCAGCTAACAGTTTTTTAATCATTGAAAGAATACTTTAAAAATTAATAACTTAATAGTGACATCATAATCTTTCACTTTTAATGTTTATTTTATGCTGTGTAGCACATGCTTTTACATTAGCCAGAGGAGCCATGAGGAAGGTATGATTACAAGAATAACAATTGCAGACATACCCTTCGTCTAACTCTTTGTCCAAGTTGTGCCAAGCAGAATGGGATTCCAACTTCTTCTCCTAGCTTCTCCCATTTTCTGACAGGGAGCTAGGTTTCTGATAGGTTCTCTTTAGCAGGTTTTGATATTAACCTCTGTAACCTGTGGGCATCAATTTCTTTCATTATGTCACTGCCAAGCTCTGCTCCATGTTCCCTTTATGTGGCCCAATCATGGGACATTTATTTTGTTTTCACAGAGTTATGACCTCTTTCATAATTACTGGTAGTGATCTTCCTACCTTTGTCACGAATCATGTTTCTCTCACTAAAACAAACAGGTTTCATTTCCATGCTTCCTAGTACTATGCTTGGGCTTCCTATAATGGAAATGGAAGTTCTTGATTTTTTAAGTAATATTCTTAATGTTATAGCATTTATATTTATCCATTTTTTTCAGTTCCATATAGCTCTTATTTTTGAGAAACTTATGTCCAGTTGTCTCAGACTTGGATAGAAAGATAAAACAAGTTTAACCTAAAATTATTCTTCTCCCAAAATCAACTCATGCCCACTGAGTCTTTTCTGCTCCAGTGAACTCATTTTTTACTCATGACAATAAAGGAGCTTCAATCCCCTATGCCCCCGACTCGTGATATCTAAACCTGGCATCCTGGGACCTGAGAATCAAATCTAAATCTCCCTTTCCTATTTTCCCTCTGGAGACCTTCTAGACCTCTTTGCAAACATAACCCTTGCCTCTGCTCTGTTTTGCCAGTTATCACAGTGTATATGTGGATTCTCCTTCCCCTCTGCTTCCCAGGCCTAGACTTTATTAAAGATATTTGCATTTTAATCTAGATACCATATAATTTGCTGTTTAAAACATTTTTTGGTGAAAACTTGTTAGGAGAAGAAAGTTTTAATCTTGAAAATATGTATACAGTGAAAATTAGTCTTCAAACTGAAGAAAATTGATAGCTTATTCTTTGTTTTCAATTCTTCAGCAAACTATAACAAATTTTGGTGGATTTAAAAAAATAGCAAGTTGGTTCTTATCAAAGAGCTCACAAGTTAGTCGGGGAGAGAGTACTTATCAAAAAAAAAAAAAAAAAAGAAGAAGATGGCAGATAATGACAAATGACCCAGCAGGGGAATAGATCCCATGGTTGAGAATCATACAAAAAGATTTATATTGAGAAGAATTGGAAAAGGCATAGTGAATGTTATCTCGTTTTAAGAAGATATGAAGAATTTGTAAAAATTCAAAAGGCTGCTGTAAGTGATGGACCTCGGGGTGTGTGTAATATGCTGAGCGAGAATGGGGGATAGAAGTTGGTCAGCGCATTGGGGAATGGTTTGGGGACGTCTAGGTCAGAGAACCTGTGGTGGCAATCCAGTACAGTGACTGAGACAATGGATTTGAAGGTGGACATTTTTGAGCTTCACCCTTAGCTTTCCTACTATTTGCTGTGTGCCATTAATCAAGTTACTTAACACCTTTGTTAGAGTTTTCTCTCAGTGGAATGGGACTAATGATAGAAATGATTTATAGTTAGGAAGCTGGAGCTACGCAGATAGCTCAGTAAATAGGTAGGTAGATGAAAGTGCATAGAAGGATGACAAAGGAGGATGGCGGTGGAAATCAGGATTTAGAACTTCATGCATGGGCATGTAAAATTCAACTTTGCTTATACGAACTGGTTAGTTCTACCCATGAAGCAATTATTTAAATTAATTAAATTTAGAGAAATTAATTTATGTTTATTAGGTACCAATTTGACAATGAATCTCTGACCTTGAAAATTAAAAGATGAGCAGTAATGACTACCATTTATTTTCAGGGCCCTGACATTTCATTAGATTCTGTATAATACTAGTACATTCAAATACAATAAAGTAGTAAAGATAGGGCAATTGAATGAGATATTTCTTAGTAAATGTAATTGTTTTTTAATAATGCATTATAATATGTAATAATATTTGTATAGGCAATATATTAATATAATAATATATTTTTATAATAGTATATTCCTTAAATCTACAAAATTATTCTTTCCCAATTGGGTTTATAAATATATGGGAACAATATCTGCCCTTAACTCATGCAGGCCACAATTCACTTATTTACAGTATTAATTTGTGGAAAGGCTCATTTACCTAATTGACTCTGCAAAGGCAAACTTCAACACAGCTTTCCCAAATCATCACATGTTATAGTAGTTAATGATATTTCATCTATCCACTCAGTATACCAGGTAAAAAAGTGACTTTTTTTTAACTAGGATGATTCAGATGATTATGTTAATTTTTCCATATTTTTCTATTTATTAATAAATCATTAAGGTTTTTTAAAGTGTGGGCAGAAACCATGCATTTATTCTAATAGGGACAAGTAATAAGTTGAATATATCTGGGTGATTTAGGCTGGTTATATGACTATTTAATAGTGTGCACATGATTACATTTACAAAGGTGTATTACCAA